CGGCTGGCGAGGCTGGAGCTGGAACGGGCACAGCTGGAAATGCAAAGCCAGCAGCTGCGTGAGTCCAACCAGCAGCTGGACCTGAGCGCTTGTCGACTGACCACACAGTGCGAGGTGTGGCATAGTGTCAGGGCGGGCAGCCTAGGGAGGCCAAGGCGGGCAAGCCAAACTGGGACAGTCTCCGGTCTGGTATTCATTTTGGCCTTGCTGCTGCCCGCAGCTGCTGACCCAGCTTCGCAGCGCCCAGGAGGACGAGAACAGGCAGCTGCTAGCCGAGGTACAGGCCCTGAGCCGGGAGAACCGAGAGCTGCTGGAGCGCAGTCTGGAGAGTCGAGACAACCTGCACCGAGAGCAGCGAGAGTACCTGTGAGCATGCGCAGGGCAAGGACCACGCCCCCTGATGCTTCAGGGAGCTCTCCTCCACTCCCCACCCCGAGGTCCTATCCCAGGCATAGGGCAGTTTTCCCTGCAACGTGGCTGCTCTGGGTTACACCTGCTTCTGCCAGGGCTTTGCCAGGATTTCTGTGAACCCATTCTCTCCTTCCTACCAGGGACCAGCTTAATGCCTTACGTCGTGAGAAGCAGAAGCTGGTGGAGAAAATCATGGACCAGTACCGTGTGCTGGAACCTGGGCCCCTGCCCCGCACCAAGTGAGGCCCCACCTTCTGGAATGGGATCCTGATAACCTTTGCCCTGTCCTACCATCTAACCTCCAGTTCCCTAAGAGCCAGGCTGGGATGCAGGTCTTAGTGAGGGTTTTCCTGACCCTTTTCATCCCCTGACACGACTCTCCCCTCTCTCCCTTCCGTTTCCTTATCCCTTCTTATGCCCTCTTGCCCCCAGGAAGGGCAGCTGGCTGGCAGACAAGGTGAAGAGACTGATTCGGCCCCGGCGGGAGGGGGCCCTCCATGGGGGGCCACGCCTGGGGGCCGATGGGGCTGGCAGCATGGAGAGCCTGGGGGGCCCCCTGGAGACGGAGCTCCCCGAGGGCAGGGAAGCAGATGGGACAGGTGGGTCTGAGGGCCTGGCGACCAGGAGGTCCCTATCCCATGCCTCCCACCCTTGGCATCTGCCATATTATCTGGCCTGCACACGTGCCTCCTTGACTTTTCCTGCTACCTGCCTCCAACTTGCCTCGATGATGTTGGCTGCTCTCTACCTGGGCCTGCGGAGACCCCTGCCTGGCTCCTCCTTTCTGCCTATATTGCTACCTCCCCATTTCTATACAACCCACACCATGTCGACGACCTCACAGCATCAGGGGACTTTAGGGAAAGGTCATTCTCCTTGATGGTACAGAAGGAAACTGAGGACCAGAGAGGGTGAAGTGCCTTGCCCAAGACCACACAGTGAGCTATTGTATGAGCCAGTAGCACATTGGCCAGGCTCCTCTGTCAGGTCCCTTCTCTCCTACACCCTGCTCATCTTTCTGCCCTCTGCAGCGTCACCCACTGGCTCTCTGCTTGACTGGCCTCTCTCTGTACTTTGATGACACCCAATCCCTCCGCATGTGCCTCTCACAGGGTCCTCGTCACCGGCACCCGTGCGCCGTGCCCAGAGTTCTCTCTGCTTGGGAGAGGAGACCCAGGCAGGTGGGCAGCGGCCCAGACTCAGCTCCCGGTTCCCTGGCGGGCGAAGCTCTGAGTCATTCAGTCCAGGAGATACTCCAAGGCAGCGGTTCCGACAGCGCAGGTCAGGCCCCCTGGGGGCACCCAGTGCCCATAGCAAAGGTGAGACACAGAGTCGCTGAATATGAGCCCCCATCATCCAGTGGACCCAGCACCTTTGGGTAGGAGGTTCATTCGTTAAGTCTCTGCGTCCTCTGTGCCTTGCCCACCACTGCCTGGCACCATGGCGCAGTGCCTGCCTCTTGATCCCCAGGATCTGGTGTGGAATGGGACGGCTCCGTTAAGACTCTCCCGGAACATGAGGCAGATGCCAGTCGAGAGGGTGAGTGAGGGTCGGTGACTCGTCTGGGGTCCCTGGAAAGTCTCATTCACCAATTCTCTCTTCTGACGAGGAAGGATCCTTTACCAAACACCAGCTGGAGCGCTCCTAGGGAGATAGCAGGGAACATTTTGGTGTAGGGAGGCAGACAGCAAACACTGCCTGAAAATAATCACTGTCTACTGTCAGCCCCGACTGACAGCAATACAGTGCCAACAGGGCATGAGTGGTACATGCCAGTCATCCCAGCTCCTGGGAGGCTGAGGTAGGATTGAAAGTTCAAGCCCAGCCTAGACTCAATGCAAGACCCTGACTTAAAGGGAGGGGGGGATATGATGTTGTGAGCTACGTGTGTATTTTTTTCCTTTTTTAGCAACCTTGTCAGAAAAGACAGAGATAGAGTACAGAGATTTCAATGACACTACTCATTTAACTCTGTCTGCCTAAATGACTACCATCTCAATATGTAGTCAGTACAAAAAATTATAAATGAGATTTTCTGTTTTAAATTATTTTACTTTTTGAGACAGAGTCTCACTGTGTAGCCTGGCTGGCCTGGAACTTACTATATAGACTGTAGTTTGAGGCCACCCTCAACCCTAAAAAGATCTGCCTATCTCTGCCTCAGGAGTGCTGGGATTAAAGGTCTGATCCACCATGTCCAGCTGAGATTTTCTTTCTTTCTTTCTTTCTTTCTTTCTTTCTTTCTTTCTTTCTTTCTTTCTTTCTTTCCTTTTTCTGAGAATGGTCTCACATAGTCTAGGCTAGCCTTGAGCTGCTCCTCCTGCCTCTACCTTTCCTGTGCTGGGATTGTAGGTATGCCTTACTGTTTTCTTGAGACAAGTTTCGTTATATAGCCCAAGATGCCCTAGGACTGTGTAACCCAGGCAGGGCACAAACATGTGGCAAGTCTCCTGCCTCAGCTTTCTTAGTCCTGGGATAATAGTTGTATGTCATCACACCCATTATTTTTTCATATTAAGTTGTTAAAGTCTATCAAGCATTTTACATGCAGACATATAACAGTTTGTGCTAGCAGAGGCTCAGTCCCAGCATGACAGGAGGTTACAGTGCTGGGGAAGAAGTAAGTGTGTGTGTGTGTGTGTGTGTGTGTGTACACAGGCTGGGATTTGAATGAGGGCACTGGATGGGGACAGACTTCAGAAGGTTTAGGGTCCTGTGGGCTGCCTTGACTGCTGGGTATCTTCCTGGGGAAGAAGCCTGAGCCCACCTTTTCTCTCTAGCCCTTCAGGAACAGAAACCGGAGAAACATCCCCTTACCCCTTCAGTCAGTCAATGACACTGTGGTGACAGGAGGCTTAGGAGTGAAGCCTTCTCCTCATTGTAGGGTCAGTGGGTCTCCCAGGCAACCCAAGATGCGGGGGACCCAGGCACTCCAAGGAAGGTCCTTGAACAAAGAGGCCTGGACTTCCAGTCCCTCCACGACTTGTACTGTGGCCCCGCAAAGGAGCTGGGACAAACATGTGGACAGGGGCTATGACTGGTCCCAAAAGGTATCTCCTGTCCAGGGCTCTTGCTCTGACACACAGCCATCATTGAGGAGGCGATCTCTGGGGGATCCCCCAGCTGAAGGAGACTGGAAAGAGTGGGCAAGACAGCCCCCTGCCTGGTCTAGATGGGAAGCCAAGGCCCATTCTCTTGGGTCAAGCCTGGGCTGATATCTAAGCCTTGTCCGGGACATGAGGGAGAGGAGAATAAAGCTGTCACCCTTGAATCTGGGCTCTGTGTCTGTTGGCTGACTCTGGGAGCCTGGAGGTGTTGGGGATTCCTATTGGTGGGCTTCTGTAGCCAGGGACCCAGTCTGGAGCAGGTAGCAAAAGGAATTTATAGTGTGGCACTTGGGCTTGCCAAAACCTGGATGTGTTGGCCAGGTGGGCAGTCAGTGGTGGGCAGGGCCTGGGTGGGCCCTCAGCAATGAATGGGACCTGGGATCTGGGAACGGGGACATGGTTGTGACTTTGGTTGACCCTGACCATGTGTCTCAGGGTATCTCTTTTCTCTCTTCATATCTTCCAACCTCCTCATCTTCTTTCCCACCCCTTTGGGGTTGAGTTCTGCCTCAGGTAGCTCACAGTCTTGCAAGGAGGTTCTATAAGAGTTGGTAGCCATGTCTCTGCCTGGAGTCCCTAGGATGATGATTGGGAAGGGAAACTGTCATAGTTAACTTCAGTTGTCAATTTGACACCGGAAAGAGGAAACTCAACTGAGGAATTGTTACTATTAGATTGGTTTATGTCTATGGCATGCCCATGGAGGCGTTTTCTTGATTGCTAATTGATGTAGGAGGGCCCAGTCCACTGTGATGGTACATTCCTAGGCAGGTGAACCTGGGCTGTATCAAAAAGCTAGCAGAGGGGCTAGAGAGACGGCTCAACAGCTAAGAGCACTTGCTGCTCTTCTGGAAGCTCCAAGTTCAGTTCCCAGCACTTGCGTTGGACAGCTCACAGCTGTCTATAACCCCAGCTCTAGGGAATGCCTCTGGCCTCTATGGGAACCTATACCCATGTGCACATACCCATATGTAGACACACACAATTAAAAATAAATGTTAAAGAAAATAAAAGGTAACTGAGCAAGCCAAAGGAAGCAAGTCAACAAGCAATGTTCCTCCTTGGTGTCTATTTCGGATCATACCTCCATATTCCTGCCTGGTTTCCCTTCCAGGGGGACTGTAACCTGTAAGTCAGACAAACCTTTTCTTGCCCAAGTTGCCTTTTGTCACAGAAACAGAGAATGAAAACTAATGTAGAAGTTGGTACCTGGAATGTGGGGTGTTACTGCGATGGACCTGACCATGTGTGGGGTTTATGCGTTGGACTGTTTTGTGGGAAAAAGGCAGAGGCTTTTGGAACTTTGGTCTGAAAGAACCATTGAGTGCTCAGATCTTAAAGAACTGTTTTGGGAACTCGGAAGGCCATGTTGAGAGCAATGCAGACATTGGAGACCTGGCTTGTGGACTTTCAGAGGGAAGTCTGACAGTCCTTCAGAGTTGATCAGGGTTGCCCATGTGATGTGTTCGAATTAAGAATCAGTGGAAGTAAAACTTTTGCTTTAATGGAACAATGCATGTTGGTTAGCTAGGGCTGAAATATCAGCGGTGATGAATAAGAAACCAATATCATTGAGGCAAAGTCTCCTGGGAAGTATTTCTCAGGGTCACCATACAGAAGCTGTGGCCTAGTAGGAGCCAAGGCTACATTTCAAACTGTCAGCAGAACTTGGCAAACAGTGTGTAAGAGTCTTCCCACATGGTACTGGTTTTGAAGGTCATGGGAACAGCTGAGGCTTGGTACCATGTGGCAGGCTCAGAGTCCCTGAAGGGAGGCCAGGAGGTCAGTGGTGAAGATGCAGTCTCAGTTGCAATGGAAACCTCAGGATATTGGAGATGAATGCCAAAGGACAGCAACAGTTGTGGAAAGGAGTTGACTTAAGCCCACAAGACAAGCTGTGTGTGCTGTGGATGGAAGGCCAGAAGATGTCCCAGATGCTGGACCCTGAGATGCAGGCTTTGATATCACTACTGGATGTTGGGTTTTGCTTGATCTGATAATATCTGTGTCCTGGTTCTTCCCTTTTGAAATAAGAAAGCATGTAACTATTTTGGATTTTACAGCAGCACAGATTTAAGAGACTGGATATTAAAAAAAAAAAAAGATAACCTCGACTATCAAGTCATTGCAATTTTCTGTTTGTTTGTTTTGTTTTGTTGAGACAGGGTTTCTCTGTCCTGCTTTGTAGACCAGGCTGGCCTGGAACTCAGAGATCTGCCCGCCTCTGCCTCCTGAGTGCTGGAATTAAAGGCGTGCACCACCACTGTCCAGCTGGAGTGTCTTTTGTATTGGAGGTGTGCTTGTGTGCCAAAGTTGACAAGGGGTGGAATGTCGTATTCACCTGTCAAACTTGACATTTAGGAAGAGGGACATCACAGTTGAGGAATTTCCTCCACCAGATGGGCCTGTGGGCATATCTTCAGAGTCATTTTCTTGGTTGCTAATTGATGTAGCTGGATCCAATTCACTGTGGGTGGTACATGCCTAGGTAGGTGGGCTTGGGTTGTATAATAAAGCTAGCTAACCGAGGGAAGGGATGCAAGCCAGTTAACAGTGTTCCTCCATGGTCTCTGCTTCAGTTCCTGTCTCCAGGTTCCAGCCTTGAGTTCAGAGTATGAACCTGTAAACCAAATAACTCTCCTTTCCACAAGTTGCTTTTGGTCAGAGTGTTTTATCTTAGCAATAGAGAAGCAAACTAATACAGGGACAATTAGACTGGGTGGCAGGATATGAGTCAGGGCACCTGAGGCTGCCCAAGGGAGGGTGGGGCTCCCTGGGAAAGGTGGAGCGGGGTCCTTGAGCAATCAGCCCTGCAGGCTCCCTCTTTAATTTTTTTTTTTTTCGAGACAGGGTTTCTCTGTATTGTTTTGGAGCCTGTCCTGGAACTTGCTCAGTAGACCAGGCTGGCCTCGAACTCACAGAGATCTGCCTGTCTCTGCTTCCCAAGTGCTGGGATTAAAGACATGCGCCACCAACGCCTGGCTTAATTTGTTTGGAAATTACATTTATTTTATATTATGTCGTATGTTTGTATTGTATGTTGGTGCAGACATATAGACCTAAGAACAACTTGTGGAAGTCAGTTCTCTTACAGGAATCCAACTCAGAAGGTCTCCTTGGGGGCAAAAGCGCCTTTACCCATGAAAAGTGACTTCGAAAGAGCCCCCCATTGCCCACCCAGCATCAAGAGCCCAGGACTTCTGTGTCCAGGGAAGACAGAGATCTCTGATGTATTTGTTGAAGTTAAGATGTGGTCCTAAAGAAGCAGGTGGGTTATGATTTGTGTCAAGTGGCTAAGAGGAGCAGAAGAGGCATAGCTGCCACGTGGGAGGGAGGGCTCTATGAGACTGGGTGGGCAGCCCTCCCTGAATCCTGAGACATAAACCTCTGGTGCCCTCCATATCCTGTTGGGCAGACACCTGGCTTGGAGGCTTACTTACCCCAGCAGAGGTCTGGTGTCGTCCAAAGGCTCTGCACTGCTCTCACCGGTCCGGGACTGGGGAGACCCTGTCACCCCCTCCAGCTGCCCACCCGCAGCCCCGCTTCGTCACGTTC